CATGCATATAATCAAGATTTTCGAGACAATACACTTATGAATAAACTTAAAAGAATTTCTTGACTCACCTTCCATCCTTTTTTTGCAACCTGCAAGCAAAGAGATAAAGAAATAATCAAAAACTCACCGATTGCTGTGGCAGCGGACGGATGAACAGCTGATCGACCGTATCGACCCCTCTCAAAACCGCGACGCTTGAGGGCCTCTGAGGCTGCGTGCCCGCTACAACGGGGAGAAAGGACGATAGTAATAAGGCTGTTCTTCTCCATCGTTTGGAACCATTACGAGCTTTGTACGTCTACCACGAATTTCTCTAACAATGAGCCCCTTTATGACTTCGGTTACATATTTTTTCATTGAATTCTAAGCATTTCTTCACTACAAGATTTTTGCTTCAGTGGTCTGGCTACCATGCATGTTATCCTGACGAGTTCGTAACAAAACAAATCCGAACGTGCTTACAGTAAGTAGGCAACACCAAATAAATCCGAAATTATGGCTGTGGGTGAAATGGGTGAAATATTTCGGTCCTCCAGCACGTCGGAAGCTCTACGCACCATCCACACTGGCTTAGCGTAGTCTTCTTGAGTTGAGAGGATCAAGCAAGATCCCATCGCAATTCACAGGACGAGGGACAAAAACAGTGGAAAAATTTGTGTTGAAACGCGCACTCGACGGTAAGAGTATAATAGCGCGCTAAGAAAATTTGCATTTTCGCGACATTCCAGGAATTTCGCGACATTTCGGGAATTTCGCGGAATTCTCGGAATTTCGCGACATTTACGGAAATTTTGCACGTTATGAGAGTGGTATTGTATTAGTGTAAGGACGAAACATCAAATCATTCGAAAGTGTCTTTGTTAATTGTTCTGTAGCTGTGACCGTAATTTAATCAAAAGATTATTTTGATAACTCCAAGGGTTAATCACATAGTCACAAGATAGGTCATTGATTATACCTAAGAGCACAGGTGCGATAAGGTGAGAATGACTCCTACAGGGTGAAGGGGGTCGCAGTGGTCGCAACCCCTCCAGGGTGAAGGGTGTTTTACTTGGTAAAGAAATCGTAAAATGTCGACGGGGGGAGGGGGGGGGAGCCATCATTTTTCCCAGTCAAAATCCATATTTTCCAATTTCTCACCATCACTGTTTGTCTTTTTTCTGAAATGTGAAGTGATACGCTGCTGGATTAGCATACAATTATATTTCTGACCAGCACCTTGTATTTTTTTTACATTTCCTTTTTCCTTTTTTACATCGCCCTGCCTGGTTTTACAATTACCGTAGTTGATGTGCATGCGAACATTTGTTTCGGAAAGAGTTAGACAATTTTTAAGCATTTACGAATTTTTTTCAAAGAAAAAATTCGTAATTTCTGTAGATGAACAGCAACGTCAGCAAGGTGAATATTTTTGAAACCATCTTGTCTTCCGCTTTAAGATATAGTTTGCCTGGGCCGGTAGTATCCCCCCGATCTGGCGGCAGGTCTCGTCGGCAGGTCGCTGGCACCTTTTCCGTGAAGAGGCCAGAAAGTGAGACCCCAAATTTAGGCCGTCCCAGGCCTTTTTCCAAAAAATTTTCTCGATAAAGATGCCGCCTCGACTCTGTAGATAATTCCATAAAAGTCTGCGGTTCCAGAATTTCTTCCTTAGAAAAATATCCGGAAGCTCAGGAGGAGCTGCCGGCAACTTCGCAATGTCAGTTGCCGGCAACATGCCGGCAGCTCGTCGAAATCCGCGAGATGGCAGCTGCCGGCAGGTCAGAGAGCACGGGAAATAGCGTGCTCTTTTGAGAGAGGGAGCTGCCGGCATCTCGACGTGCCCCTACCACGTCGAGGTGGTGGCACCTTTGCCGACGGCGTCTGCGAGTTTGCGAATGGCGGCGGTATCACACAATTTACGTCACGCGAAAAAATCAAAAATTCTACTTTTCATCAAAAACTGTCATTTTTCTCATTGTATGAGTTTTTCTTTTTTGAAACGACGATTTTCTTACAGAGAAAAAAGTCCAGTAATGCCCTAGAATCAGAACACCATCTTTTTTAGCAATCCCTTATAAATCTCGTTTGGACCGATTTCGCCCCTCTCTCGCTCATATCAATCAGCTGTTCTTTCAGGTCAAAGTCTCTCACGCAATGTATCGATCCCTCTTACAGGCAGCCATTTACCAGCGCGTTCCTCCTATTGCTGATGCAAACGGCAATGGCTGGCCGAATGGTCGAATGGTTGAAGTGGTGGCACTTCAAGTTAACGCACATAGGTTCGACCGCGCGCGAGGTAGCGATTTTGCGGCTGTCTGCGTCATCAAAATTTAATGTGCGAAATGATTGCGTGCTAAGGTTACATAAGATTATTGAAACCTACAATCACTCCGCGAGCTGACGGCGGAGTTGGCATCTTTCCGCGACGTGTGCCAACTTGCCGGCATCTATGATGCCACCAGATAGGGTAGATTACTACCGGCCCTGGAGTCTGTTGAAAAAGGCCTGGTGAAGAGTGTGGGTAGTGATTTCTGGATATTTTCGAGTTTTTAGGATAGAAAAATCCGTAACTTTTGAAGATGAATATAATTTACGCCGGTATGGCCACCATTAAAACCGCCTCGTTTTCTGCTTCTAGAAAATATATACATTGCCTGGTGTCCGTCAAAAAAAGTGCCTGGGTGAAAGGTGTCCTAGTGATTTCTGAAGATTTTCGAGTTTTTAACATAAAAAAATTCATAACTTTTTTAGATGAACATCTTTCACGGCGAGATGGTCATTATTAGAGCCGCCTCATTCTCCGCTTTCAAAAAATATATAGCACGTTTAAGATCCGTTAAAAAAGTGCCTGGTGCAGGATGTGCCTAGTGATTTCTGGGAATTTTCGCGTTTTCAGGATAAAAAAATCCGTGACTACTGCAGATGAACAGCTGGTGCAAGGAAATAGGTAGTAACCATCGGAACCGCCTCGTCCTCCGCTTTCAAAAAATATATAGCATGTCTAAGATCCTTTCAAAAAAGTGCCTGGGTGAAGGGTGTGCTTGGTGATTTTTGAAGATAGTCGATTTTTTATCATTAAAAAATTCATAACTTTTTTAGATGAACTCTTGTACGCCTGGATGGTCACCGCTGGAACCGTCTCGTCCTCTGCTTCCAGAAAATATATACTTTGCCCGGGGTCCACTAGAAAAAGTGCCGGGTGAAGGGTGGGTGAGACTTTTATAATGGGAGTGCTCAAGTACAGGCTTTTTTTACCGTTGTAAAAAGGCGTCTACTTGAGCACTCCCATTATAAAAGTCTCACCCACCCTTCACCCGGCACTTTTTTTAACGGACCCCAGGCAAAATATATATTTTCTGAAAGCGGAGGACAAGACGGTTCCAATGGTGACTATCTCAACGTACAAGATGTTCATTCAAAAAAAGTTATGAATTTTTTAATGATAAAAAATCGAGTATCTCTAAAAATCACTAAGCACACCCTTCACCCAGGCACTTTTTTGAATGGATTTCAGACATGCCACATATTTTTTGAAAGCGGAGGACGAGGCGGTTCCGATGGTTACTATTTTCTTGCACCAGCTGTTCATCTGCAGTAGTCACGGATCTATCCTGAAAACTCGAAAATTCCCAGAAATCACTAGGCACATCTTTCACCACGCATTTTTTTAAACGGATCTCAAACATGCCGTATATTTTCTGAGAGCGGAGAACGAGGCGGTTCTAATGGTGACCATCTCGCCGTAAAAGATGTTCATCTACAAAAGTTATGAATTTTTTATGTCAAAAACCCGAAAATCTCCAGAAATCACTATTCACACCCGTCACCAAGCAATTTTTTCAACCGACTCCTCCTTTCCTATACACTGACAATTCACGTACAAATACCTCCTTTGCTTAACCTTACCTCACTGCTGATTTTTTTCTCGGCTTTCGGTGAAGGGGGTCACCTTGGTTTCCGCTCAGGGGTGAAGAGAGGGTGAGAAAAGTCTCACACTATCGCACCTGTGCCTAAGAGTTCAATAGAATTTTTTGTATTGCTATAAACATCAAGAAATTTTGTAATAGAAATACTCTGATCTTCTGTTTCCTTGCCGTCCGAAATCAGCAAAATATGGCAAGGCACTGAAATGAAGAATCAGCTTGAATTTCATTCGTAATGGTCATTATTACTCGGTCCAAGTGGGATTTACCATTTGGTGAGCACGGGAGGCATATAAATAGTAGACCTAGTGCTCTCGCTGAGGTCGCACTGGTTTACCCTATAATACGATACACATAACTTGATAGTCGTACTCAACGGATAAAGAATATACTAACAAACAGCATGCAATATCCAGTTGGTTGCTCTATTCTGACATAATTTCTCATAAGCAAAGGGTATCTTTGTGAACATCTTTAGCACAACACGATGGTGTCAGACTTTTTTCCCAAATATTATCTTATCTCTTTCTGATGACAGCAATTTATCTATCAGAATTACAAATATGGCAAACAATGAACAAACAACTAAGCCGAAACAATGTGAATGTTCCAAGGGAAGCAGCTCTTTCACTACTGTTTGCATCAGACACTTGCCTGATGCGAACACAAGTGAAGGATTTTGCGACTTATTATTTTCTAAAATTTTTTACCTTTCTTACTACATATCTAGTTAAACTTACGCAGAATTTCATCCCTTTCCTACTTACTTGCACAACCTACATACACAGAGTAACATGAATTCTTCGATCACTGTACTGCTAGGTGCGCAAGCAGACTTTTTTTTCCCGAATTCTCGATCTGGAATCAGTAGCATATAAATATAAAATTTTAGGAGCATAAAACTTAAACTCTGCAAAGGCGGAAAAGTATTTCGAAAAAGAATGTGCTTGCACACCATTAAAGATATGGCTTGACATAGTGATCTTTATTGATGCGTAACGTGACTAAGTGAGATGTGCATAATTTCTGGCATCTAACAAAATAGCAGACAACCACCTTCGTCGAGTGTGTCTCATTAATCTGCAAGCGTAATATTACAGATATGGACAAATCTGGAGGGGATATTCAATTCAACTATTGCTACAAGGTAAAGGCCATCACTCACGAATTGGTTTGGTTAGATATAGCAATGAGGTAGGCCTAATGTTTGTGACACTGCTCCTTACTCAATTTTTCAAGGCAACTTTTAGAGATACAACCTAACCGCTTTCAACTCCACCTGGGATTTTCTTGACAGCTCTACTGGATCTCCTTTCCCAGACCATATTCTGAGCCGAACCTTTTTCGGTTAGCACTTGTTTTTATACTTTGCACACAACTTCACCAATGCCTAGAAGTCTGAAATATGCTGAACAAATTTTTGAAGAAAATCGTGGGGAGGGATCCAGAAAAGACGTTGAAGAAGTCATCATTGCTTACACTAGCGATTCCGAGTCAGTCCTTTTGACATTATCTTGCTTCCTACATGTTCCCGCGCTCAGGATGAACGGTGGGCCTCATCTTATCGGGCTAGCGGATGAGATCAGATATTTTGGAATTCACATCATCGTGGTCGGCTTCAAAAAAGGACGTTCTGGAGCCATAGACCTAACCAAGGCAGTGATCTTGAGGTATCCGCCCTTGATATACATAAGTTTCTCGGCTATAGATTGCAAGTGAGGGATCCTATTTCAAAAACTCGACACCCAACCTAGCCGGCGAACTTCAACATTCATTGTGCAAAGGTAAAATTTATTCTACGACGTAGCAGACAGAACATGACCACGTTAGATGTAGTAATCGACTTCAGTGAATTGTTTTTGTAAAGAAAGATGGGTGCAGTACGAACACGAAAACGAAAAGTACGGGTCATGTTTGCGGATCGGTGAGTTTCATCAAAAATATGATAATTTGCACATATGCTACTCGTCTAGGTGGATTCAAAATGGACTGGGAGAATGCGAGAGATGCTTGCATACACTTGGGTGGTGGCAAGGGACACTTAGCCACTGTCCTTGACAAACCAAAGCACGACTTCGTTTCAGTATTTATCGACTTTTTGTCACCTCTCTTTTTTCTGTTGAAAGAAAACACCATTTCAGTGATGATCAAGAATGACTCAAGGACGATGCAACCGTACAAATACCACATCGGTCTCTCATATAATGAGAGCAAGCGTGACTACTTCTGGGAACAGCCGAAGGATTCGGTTTCGGAGAAAATTTCTGTATATTTCTTTCGCTTACTCCTGGTTATTGAAGATTTTTGAAAACTACGACTTTCAGCTAAAAGACACTGACTTCCGCAAGTGGGACAAGGGTTTTCCTTCGCTGTATGGAGATAGAAAATGTGTTTTCGCCGCTCAAACTTCTGATCTTGAGGTTGGTAGATTTTCAGCTTCTGCGGAGATCTCTTTGCGCTGTTCCAAAGTTGTCTTTTATGCGAAGTAGCCCAAAGTCTCGTCATCGGACGTTCTCGCTTCTCTACATTGAAACAACCTCAAAGCACTTTCTACTATGCGCATTTTAATTCCACTCTTAAACGTAATTCATGCCCCCATTTTAGCATGGTTGGCAGAATGAGGTCTGCAACTCATGGTCTGCTAGAGGAGACTATATTTGCCAGATGAACGCCTGTGACACCGACAATTACTGTCCATAACGGTTTATCGACCAGTCATAAATAAATAGTTGCATTATTCTATTACCAGTGTTTGTTGCCCTGCACAAAGTACTAGGTTGGAGAATATTCTGTTACACTTCTATTTCTATTTTCTGGAAATCTAAGAAGCTTTCAGAAAAGGAGTGTTGACGGGGTGCTAAGGTCCGCCGGCCGCTACCATCAGATCCGCGGTCCATGCGCGGAACACCCACTTTATCGGGAGCACGTTTTGTGACATTCTTGTCAGTGGGCTTATTCGAAGTGATCGGGCGATGTGGTATTCGAGCATGGTATGGCCCATAGTTTTTAGCGAATGTAGAGGGATGGCGCAATCATGTTCTACGATCACATGAGCTGCATATTGTTCCATGTCAACGCACATTCGCATTCTAACATGAAGAACAATTTTACACAAAAACTTTTTTTTTCTCCGGATCAAATCCTACACAATGCGCACAAAAAGAAACATTTTCGATGAATTTCTAATTTTTTTGATATGTTTTTCAATTCTCATATTTGGCGTGCAAGCGGCACTAAAGGGCGCCCATAATATTATTGGAGAAAAAACACAATTAAAGGGGAAGAAAACAATTGAAGGAAAAATGACAATCATGAGTGTGTTTATAACGTCATCGTAAACTTCTTTGTGCATTTGCGGTATCAGTCACACTGTTGTGTACGCAATGCCGTGCCTACATATGGAGCAACTTTGAAAATTTCAGAGGACTTCTGGAATTTTTTTAGAATTTTACAAAAAAAGTGTAACAGAAATTGTCCACCAACCTAGCATTTAATTCTTAGAAAAGTCGTCGGATACTAGCCGAAAAGCTCTTATCGGCCAAACCAACTGCACTCTCTTTTCTCGCCTATTTGTGAATCCTTTTCACTCTCCATCCTTTCAAACTCATTATATGCATTCTAAAAGAGACTAGTCACTGAAGAGATTCAGTCCACTTTCACGATATCTATATCTTATTAACTATCTAGCAAAGTTACCACATTTCTACGCTTGGAGCTAACAAAAAATTATCCATGTTAGATTAGCGTTGCCAAATAATGTACTCCTGCACATCTTAATTCCAACCCAATTCGTGCCCTCATCCACTGAGAAGGGGTCAACGGTGGGTTTTTGGAGCGCCTTTCCAGATGTATTTGGAATTTTGAATTCTTTCGTTAAATGAATGCATATCGAATAGAGAAAATGAATAGTGGCGAATAAATGATTATCGAATAGATTTGAAAATAAAAAGAAACGCGAACTAACAAATATCAAATAAAATTGTTCCAAAATTCTCTGAATGAATGATTCCCGAACAAAATCGGAAAATCAAAAATATCGCATGAATGAATGTCAATTATCTTCGAGCATTGGGAGTTGAGTATCAAATAAATATTCAAATGATTTATCGAGTAACTAGAGCAACCATATCTAAAACTTGCTGACATACCCGGCCAAAGCCGTTTCATTCGTAATCAGCACTCCCATCTCTCTTATACCAACTCCCAGCTCTGTAGCTCAAGATCTTCCAAAAGTCGATGAAAGCGATTAAATAGATTTTATTTATAATCAGCATCCTCATTTACCCTACCAACTCTCAGCCCTGTAGCTCAGAGTTCCCCAAAAATTGATAAGATCGATAAGAACGATAAAGTCTCTCATCTACCCCTGTACCACCCAGATTTCTAGCCAAATTTTTCCAAAAATTATCGATAAAAAGAAATTTTACTCATGATCAGCACCCTCAACTACCCTAGTTTACCAAACCCCAACTTCGCGGCTAAAAGCTAATGAATAGAGATAGTTGTGCAGCACAAGTTTTACGGGTGCGTAGCAAGTGGTACCCAGGCAGCCGACTGCTAACTGCTACCGCAGCCAGCCGCCAGAGCTGGCGGCAAAGCCGCTGCAGATGATACAGTAATTATGCTCGTCGTCTAAAACTCTTGCCGAGAGGTTTCCTCGCACCTCGTCGCTCTGAGGTGCGATATCAGCTTAAGGAAAGCCTGATATCCTCTATATCTGTATTATTTTGAAAGCAGAAAATTCATGTTTTTGAAACATGTAAATAACAAAGATACAAGGGAGATGTTTTTCAGAAGAAAATTTAACAAATAACAATTGAAATTCAAATTTAAAAGAAAATGATCGCGAGTTCAAATCACTTCGCTAAATAAGGCGAAGTAGGTCAATTAAATTGAGCAGGTTTCAATGATAAAAGATGAAAACATGCCTCATGTGCTGATATAAAAGGGAAACTCACCAAGAAGCATGTACTATTTTGATCTAGACTGTTTACTTCTCTAGGTATTTTGAGAAAATAAGGAAATAATGACGAAAAAAAATTCGAAATTCACAACTCACTGCTGTTCAATATGTTATATAATAGATATTGAGGATATTACTCTACCATTGATCTATTCAGCTTGATTGACCCACTTTGCCTTATTTAGCTCGCTTAACATCACTTTGTACGAAATAAACATATTGACACAGTTTTCTTACCGTTATACACTGACATTTTTCTGTAATTGTTCTCGTCCATTCTTCGATGAAAGCAAAAAAAAATCTCTAGAAAATTGCTAATTTCTAATTTTTTCAGCTTCTCTTTCCTTGAGTATCTTAAGTGATCTGATCCTGAGTGATCCTCCTCTATTCACCTTTGTTTATTTGCATGTTTCTCAAAAACATGAAATTTTTGCTGTTTAGAATGATATCGAGGATATCACGATTTTCTGAGGCTGATTTCGCATCTCAGAGCGACGAGGTGCGAGGAAACCTCTCGACAAGAGTTTTAGACGACGAGCATAATTACTGTACCATCTGCAACGGCTTTGCCGGCAGCTCTGGCGGCTGGCTGCTGCAGCAGTCGGCTGCCTGGGTACCACTTGCACGCCTCCCAAGTTTTACAAGCAAGAGTGCTCCCTAACAGCGTGGATCATTGCGGACCAAAAGAGGGAGAGAAACAAGCACGAGTCATTACACTTCCAGCATATGCACACGGACCATGAGCTTGAATTGATAGCTGTTTTTGCTGATTTAGTGCCAATAGTTGTGCGAACTATCTCAGTGATCAAAAAAGCAATCAATCAAAATCCGCATTTATTGATTACAGCTGCAAAAAGATGCATTATCGAGTTTTGAAGGAAACACAAACAAAGCAAGCTTGATACAGTTGATTCTACATCAAATTCCGATAATTCGAATACAGATGCAACCACTACACTACAGCATGCATTTATGATAGCGTCCTAGGAATTATATTTATTGTGCCTCCCTCCGCATGTATGTACAGTTCGCCGAGATCTGAACCAGACAAGCCATTACAGCAGATAATGCGACAAACTGGAACTTTCTAAGTCTACTCTTACCGTTTTCGGAGACTGCCCTCGGGCTTTGATGGTCATGGCGAAAGCATCTTTACCAGAAACTGTAGTCGCTTGAAGTTGCTCGGTCAGTTTCGCAATTCCTCTGAGTTTGGACCGTTACTGCTGACGTTATGGCCAAATACGGGCGAAAACTTGTGCGCCTTTACAGTTATGTGATCTGCATCTAGTCCTTTATTGATATATACGGGTTTGAAACTGTTGGTGTTATTTTGGCACTCCTCAAAAGCCCCTGGGAGAGAGTTTGGCATAAACTTAAACTGAGAAAAAACTGGTGCTGTTCCCTACCGCTCATGTACTTAAAACGTCCACTTTTCTAGACGCTAATTTCTTTGGAACGAAGATTTGTGTGCGAGTATTCACCTGCGACCCATAATTTTCGTGATAAGGCTTTTGTGTCTTGTTGTGGTGACAGTCGCTAAGCGGCTTATGATTCACCTTTCCTCCAAACTTCAAAGTCAGCAATCTGGAATTATTTCAGCAACTTTCATGCTGTACTAAAATTGCACCTCATCTCATGCATGTGAGATATCTGTCAATATCATAGCCAGAGAAGTTTTGCGATATTCTTCTAGAAGTTTGGCTCATTACTGAAGCACTTTTCTATGTAAATGGATGGAGGGCATATCTACTACCAGTGAAGAACACTTTCATATACTCTTACTCTCACACTAGTGAACCAGTAATTTGAAGGTGCTACTTGCAAGAGTGTTCGCTTCGGGACCCGCCGCGCTTTCCCGCTATTTGCAGATTTTTAAACTGACAAGAGAAGCATCTTCAGTCGAAGTGGCCTTCACATGGCATCTATATCACTTTGTAGAGCATTGAACGATTCCAAATCTGCCTTCCGTATCTGTCAAGCGCCTCTGGAGGTCGAGTTATGGGCTCTAACAAGGGAACGATACTCAATGTCCGTGGCCTTTCAAAACGCATTTATACCATTACACTCCTCTTCGAACGCTGATTCCGAATCTGCCTTCCCTTTCTGCTAATCGTTTCTCTGAAAGAAGTTATGGGAGAATTTCGAGCCAAGTTTGGCTACTTAAGGGAAATATGGTCATTGGAACGGCCTGTACCGCGGCCACTTTCTGGTCTAGTGGTTAGTGGAATAGCCTTATAAGTTGATGCAGGTGTAGGTTCAAACCCTTTTGTGTTTTTACTTTTGCATTACCTCAATTAAGCTTGTTCGAGAAAATTTACTTGAGCTATGATCATTGGATACAATTTAGCGCAAATAGTTATCATTTTTCCGAATTTTCACATTTTTTGAAGAGTAAGGGTGTTCACTTAGCTCTGTGATGCAAAAGAAGGTTAATTGAGGCAATGCAAAACTGAAAAACACAAAAGGATTTGAACTTGCAACTGGATCAGCTCATGGGGCTATCGCACTAACCACTAGACCACAGTGCAGTGTTACCGTTGGCGCTCCGACCATATTTCATTGGGCATCCACAGTCCGCGCGATCCATTATAACATTTTTGAAGCGATTAGCAGAAACAGAAGTCAGATTCGGAATCAGTGTTCCAAGACGACTGTAATGGTGTACCTATCATCTTAAAAGCTCGCGGACACCGAGTATCGTTTCCTTGTAAGTCGAAAAACTGAATGCGCAACTGGAACAAAGTCGTTCGAAACTGCTCAAATGGGCAGGTGTTGGTTATCAGAGCACTTCACTTGATGAATGCCTTTTGTCTAATATCCTCATACTCAACAGGGCTCTACAGTGCTGGACAAAATTATAGGTCCACTCTAAAAATGCCATAACTCATTCTGTTGTCAATGAAATGTTCCAAAATTTGGTACAGCCGTGTATTTATCAGTCTACCACCAGTCTTCAAATCAAGTCTCGTTTTCGTTTGGTTACTCAAGAAAAAATTATAATTTTTGAAAAAAGCAGGCTTTAAGGCTGGACAAAATTATAGGTCCACCTGGAGTTTTTACCTGGATAGTTTCCACCTGGATTGAAGTATTTCTTAGCTTCCGAATTTTTTTAGGTAGGTACACATTCAAAAATGTTAAACAGTTGATTTAGTCAAGCTGTGTCATACCTCCAAAAAAACCGATTATCTGTTTTTTTGCCTTGAAAATGCTTTCACATGTATTTCGCTCCAGAAACCTGCACTGAGTAGGTAATCCTGCAGTTTCTCAGCTAGAGTGGAAGCGACGGGGTTTCACCTACCTTCTGGATGCTTTTTGACGTGAGCATTGAGGAAAAGGTCCGACTTTTTGCTACTGAAGCAAATCCGACATCTACTTAATCGAGAGCGCAAGCCTCAGTTTCTGCCCTAAAACCCTTTAGGCATTATCATTATAACCCCAAGATACTGTAGAAGCATTCTTTACACTAGAATAAAACTGTTCGCCATACTCGCAAGTGTTCACAAAGCTGCCTTGCTTTTTTTTCGAAACATGAGATGTGCAACGTAATGATGGTGTTACTCACTTCCAAAACAGCTTGCCAAGTGCTACCTCACTTAGATTTTTGACGGTAATTTATTTACTAGATAGCAGATACAGCTTGTATTGTATGTTAGCACATGATTCTCCTGAGATTTTTGGTCAGAACCACAATTAGCTTTGGTGCTTGTCGTAATCAGTTTCTGCAGGGTTATTCAGTAATTATACTCGAATGCTATGGCCTCTAAAAAGTTGTAACGGAATACGGACTCCTCTTCGTAGAAACAATGCCTTCACTTTACTTAGTGCTTCTGAGGACATTGTAAACGAAGTTTGAAGGCAGAAATTTGAACTCAGGATTGCAGTATTGTCAATGTCGGATTTGCTTCAGTAGCAAAAAGTCGGACCTTTTCCTCAATGCTCACGTCAAAAAGCATCCAGAAGGTAAGTGAAACCCCGTCGCTTCCATTCTAGCTGAGAAACTGCAGGATTCTCTACTCAATGCAGGTTTCTGGAGCGAAATACATGTGAAAGCATTTTCAAGGCAAAAAAGCAGATAATCGGTCCTTTTTGGAGGTATGACACAGCTTGACTAAATCAACTGTTTAACATTTTTGAATGTGTACCTACCTAAACAAATTCGGAAGCTAAGAAGTACTTCAATCAGTAAAAACTCCAGGTGGACCTATAGTTAAACCTATAGTTGAACTATAATTTTGTCCAGCCTTAATGCCTGCTTTTTTCAAAATTTTCAATTTTTTCTTGAGTAACCAAACGAAAACGAGACTCGTTTTGAAGACTGGTGGTAGACTGGTAAACACACTGCTGTACCAAATTTTGGAACATTTTATTGACAACAGAATGAGTTATGACATTTTTTAGAGTGCACCTATAATTTTGGCCAGCACTGTATTTGAGCGCAGGAAAAGTAATTATTATTTTCATATATTATAGATACTGCGTTCATTTTTTGCTCCGAAAAACACTCATAACTCAGCGCCCAGGGGTGCTTGGCAGATAGTGACAACAGATTTAGAATCAAAGTTTAATGGTCTTCAAAGTGGTATAGGAATCATTTGGAAAAGCCACTTCGACTAAAGACGCTTCCCTTGTGAGCTAACGATTCGTTATATATTAGATGAAGATTCGGAATAGCAGCACAGTATTACAGCCATTATTATATTTGATGCGAAAATCGAATAGCGATGATTAGCAACTTCAGCATTGAGCGTCTAGCGAGTAAACAGATAAAAACATCGATCCTGGTCATTGCAATGCTCCACGTTTATGGTCATCTTTAGGCCCCGGGCAGACTTCACGCGATTTGATCGTCGCGACTGAATCGCGACGAGACAACTGTTACAACATCATTCCATGTCGATCAGCTTGCATTCGGTTGTGATACTTTTCCAGCCCGAAATTTTTGAATGTGGAATGAAAATGAATGGAAATCTTGGCGATTTGGTCGCGACGATTAAGTCGCTTGAAGTCTGACCGGGGCCTTATGGAGACTCATCTAAACGAGGTTTTAGCTGCCTTTTAAACTGCAGAGCTAGAATTACATAGAATTATATGGAGATCTCATGGAGTATTGCAATATTATTAGGTATGCAGGCAGGAAAAGTTTTGCGTGCTTGCTTTCAGCTCAATCGGTGTTTCACGATTTCAGGTCAGCTGCTCTTCAATTCCGTAAATTCGAAGCGCTATCATTACGAGAGGGAGTGTCAGTGCACGCCATCGAAGCTTTGGCTTGACGTAGTGGTTCTGTTTGACAACTCGTTAAGCATGGAAGAATATGAATTAGGACTGGTAACTCGGTGCTCCGACAAAGCCAACCCTTAAAAGCAGCGTCCGGGCAAGATCCACCCACCCAGATTAGCAAATAGCTGTGAAGCGGGCCCCAGGGGTATCCGATCTGCATTGGTCCGATCCTCTGACGTGGCCTCTAAAAGGAAATATAGGCCTGTGATACGTATCACAATCCGCCCCTTCGTATCACAAACCACCCCTGAGGACGAGTGCTCACGCAGGTGTGCAGTTGCATTGCAGTTGCACTGCACACTGCAATGCAACTGCATCCGTGTAGTTGCAGCTCCTCCCGCTGGCATGCGATGGGGACGAGCAATCCGAAACTCGTCCGCTCCTTGAAAAGAGGGTCCCCAAGAATCGGGTTTTTTGGGGGGTTTTGAACAATTTGGACATTATATCTGTAATCAGCGCCACGGAAATGCCCTAGAACGACAAAAACATGAGAGGCGAAATTTTGCCCGGACGCTGCCTTTGAGTGACGAGTTCAGAGATTTCAACATCTATCAGATGTAGAATTAGAGACTCTATCAATAAGCCAAGCTGGTGCCGTGTGCGCATCATAGAATCCCTGTGTGTCACGCAGTTTTGTTGCAGATGTTAGCCGAAACGAGCACAATACTTGATCCAGCAACTATTTCGCGAGGTGAAGGCCATCACTGCCGTGTTGGGACAATTACTTATGGTGGTGACGCGAAAATTGTGAACGTCAAACCTTTTTGTCAGTTTGTGCCTTTTTGGACTTTTTTGTGCTCTTCACAGACATGGATTGAACGAATTCAACGACACTGATGACTTTCTGGAGCGCATCTGGGAAATTGGAATGGCAAATGACTCGACAAAAAGCCTAACAGCGTTAGCTATCATTTTGACTTCGCCATTTATACAGGCTGTCCTGAAAAGTACACATTGTTTGATCGTTAATCTTGCTCTGATTTCTTTCGCCGCTCTTGAGGTGGCACTGTGTTGAGCTAGTTTCAACTTAGGTTTACAGTAACTGTATCATAAATCACTCTTTTTTACTGCAAGATGTTCTACGAACTCTCAGCATGAGCACCATTATGAAAAAGCTGTCTAAAAATTTTGCAAAAGACTTAAAAAGTGTCACTCATGCTGATTTCATTAAACAAGTTTTTGCTTCTTTTCAAGCTTTCTCAATAATGAAATCACATTTTCATGAAATTGGCTCAACAGTTCTCGCGTGATACCTGGCATAAGGCATGCACAACATTATAAGAGCGCAAATTTCATATGGAATGAGCGGCTGTCGATAAATTTGAGAATTCTCAGCTTGCTGGTTTTATTCTCGAGGCAACATGTGGCCTTCAACTGCTCGAAACTCTTCTCAAAGATTCACTAATTCTACAGTAAACAGAAAGATGGCTCATTAGCTCCATGCTGAAATCTAAGTTGAGCCAGACTTTAAAAATGGTATGAAAAATCGAAAGATACTGAAGCAAAGGAGTCATTGACTATCAGATAGTGTGCATTTTTTTAGACGTCCTATATAAGCAATGCAAGCGCGCTGCTTAACACAATTACAAATATGTATAATGTCTAGAGGTTTGCTAGCAGCTGACCAGGTTTTTCGAGAAGGACGTGTAAATGGACTTAGAAAAAACGTGAAAGAAGTCATCATTGTCTACGCCACCGATTTCAAGTTAGCAGAAATCTGCTTTATGTTGGTAATCCTCGCACATATTGTGCACTTCAGTGGGAGACATCTCGAAGGTGCTAAAGAGCTAGCACATCAACTCAAAAAGAGTGGAAAAAACATTATTATTGTGGCCTTTGAACAAGGAGGTTCTGGCGCTTCGGAACTGATGCAGGCATGTCTTCAGAAATGCGTAAATCTGCATGAGCTTTCTCATTACAGATTGCAAGTGAAGGGTTCTATTTCACAAACAGAATACCCAACTTAGCCGGTGAAATTCAACACGCATTGTGCGACGGTAGATTTTAATGTGATAAGTTAGCGACAAAACGATTATTACTTAAGTTTAGTTAATTGCTTCTGCTATGAAATATGGGTACAATACAAACTCGATGACATAAATTATGGATCATGCCTGAGAATAGGTAAGGTTCCACAGACTGTTTGTAATACGTAGCTCAATGATGTAGGTGGTTTCAAACTGGACTGGGAGAACGCACACGATGCTTGCAAACACTTGAGTCGCGGCAGAGGACATCTGGCCACTGCTTTCGACATTGGCAAGCACAACTTCACCGCAAGTATTGAAATTTTTACATTCATTTTTCCGAACAACAGGAAAATTGTGTTTCAGTGCTGATCCGAAACGATCCAAGAATAGGGGCACCATATAAATGCCACATCGGTCTCTCATACGATTCAAGTAAGGACGATTATTTTTTGGGAACAGCCTGAAGGCTCAGATCCGGAAAAGATTTGTGTGCGTACTCTTTCGCGTATTCTTGAAGACTGGCATTCCATTCCGACAGTAATGGAATGTTTTAGTTAAAAAACACAGCCCTTCCCCTTATGTGGAACCAAGGCTTTCCTGATCTGCGCGGCAACGCAAAATGTGTTCTTCTCACCGCCCAAACGTCTGCTGAACTTGAGGTTGGCGCAATAAGACTTTTAGTCTTTCTCGACAGCAAGATATAATATGTAAGAACAATCGGTACCGGACAATTTTTCCAGCTTGGTTGGCAGAATGAGGTCTGTAATTCATGGTCGGCACGTCATCATTACGTTTGCCAGATGGACGCGTGTGATACCGATAATTACTGTCTACCCAACTAGCCGTTCATGTTCCTGTAGACATCAGATTCAGTTCTAAAAGTAAAATTTCAAATCTAGCGTTTGTTGCAATTGATTCAGACATATTTCAATGCGCGACTTCTCTTCTCACTTATATGAAGTCTCGCACCTTTTGAATTTGCCAACTTTAGGAGTCAAAACCTCGGTGCACAAAATAATTCATAGTACAAGCTTCAGAGAATTTACTCCTCATCCTTACACTATCGTCTGTAACCTCTGCCCCATCTCGTGCATATACAAGACTATATGTCCGTTTTGTGGAAAAGCTCGGGGACAATTTGGGAACTGCGCATTGACCGCATCTAAAACAAAGGATAGAGATCCAGTTGAAAACTTAAAGCAAGCTGCATGCTCGAGAAGGATTTACTGTAGCAAATACAAGCTCATAAAAGTACTGAATATTCGCCAGGCTCGAATAGGGTTTCAACTTTGTGAAAGAGCAAGGTAAACTCTAGGGTGATTTCCTCAGATTATGAGCACAAACTCCGCAGTCAATCAAAAAGTTGCAGCCTTTCCTTCACTGAAAATAACTGAGTCTAATGATAGTAAAACATGTTGTAAGGGTTAGCGTCTCCATGTTTGCAGTTGGCCTTTTACGATAGCTAGCTAGAGCGTGGGCATGCTGAAAAAGTGATAGTACGCTTCTTCTTTCTCGTGAAGCTGAAATCTCTTTGAAGAAAATGAATTTAAATAAGGTAAATGTGTGGCAGGGAGTGAAGAATTCTCGATTGGAGATTAATACCGATCAAAAATGTCGAACAATTAGATCTACAGCTTTGATTATGAAAGAGGGGTTATCTCATCTCCGTACAATCACAATGATGATTATTCATCTTACTCACCTCTTTCAGCAAGGGGTTCTTACTCACAAATGAAAACCGCAAAAGCAGCTCTGAAAAAAGTCAAGAAGGAAAGTTTTTCAATGTTCAGTGATATGAACGTTCTACATCTGATAGGGAATAGAGGTGAACATTATACCAGTGATTTTGACACCAAATGCTTTATTACAGTGAATTACCTATGCTTAGTGTCAACATTCTTGGTGTTCTTACTTATTACTTTTTATCAAAATATCTCTGCTTCTGATTTACGCCATCCTTATCCAATGCGCCAATATTGGAAATTAATACCGTCCGTTTTAATATGAAGAACGATCAATGTTACCCCAAAATTTTATAGATAAGGCCACAGAAGTAAGGACCACCGTCAAAAATTTTGCAGCTTCTCTGTCACAGTATTGATCGAATGTTTGAGTCAATCTCCATAGTTCAAAATTCATAAATTGAATAGTTAGGGGTGAATAAGGTTTTGTGTTGAAAACTTCTTCCGCAAGGTCTCATCTCATGCAGTGATACCTCTAACAAAATACAATGAAACCAAGCTTCACTTGTCACCTTATCGCATTCTAAAACATCACTTTCGCAATCTGTTAGAAGAACTGTTGTAACACAATAAAGGATTATAAAAGCAAAAAGTACAGCTGTTTCAACGACAGCGGTTTACAAGACTTTAGAAAGTGATGTATCGAAAACTTTTTAGTTTTGCGAAATTTCAACTCGCCTTCTTCATTACCTTCCTTATGTGAAAAAATTGATTTATTTGGACGATTTCAGACGCTCTCCCGCAGATTTTGCAACACAGAGCAACATGAAGGTTTCAAACATTGTAATACTATTAGGTGCGCGATTCAGCGATACACTTAAATTTCTAAATGCTTGATTTTATGCATTTTCAGAACTGCTGCTAATCACAGTGAATGAGGGTAAGTACTACGAGAACGAATGCGCCTGTACACCACAGAAGCTATGGCTTGACGTAGTAATTCTCATTGATAACTCTTTGGGTATGCCAAAAGAAGAATTTACACAGGTAACTCAAACCTACCATGCATCAAAGCTTGGTATGACTAAATATGACTTATCGGCTCTTGCAGACGCAGACCACACATTATCTGCTCTAAGATTGAATTACGCTGAAAGGCAAAACATATATGACTCCTCTTGCAGGTACTAAGCATCGTGCACAATATATTCAATCCAATAACAATCACGCAAGGCGAGGGCCACCACACTCGAGTTGGCCTCGTTACACATACAGGCCAAGCAAACATAGTATGCACTTGATTTATGGAACTTGCTTCCACACATCTTGGCCTTTTCAGTGGCATACATTGACCAAATTCAAATGCACGGATAATTTTTTTGAATAGCATCTGGGAACTTCAACGAACAAGCGACTCAAGAAGTCACTTAAAGGTGTAAGCGCTTCCTGCCTGCTTCACTTTTCAAAACCCCAAAATCTAGCACGTTGGTCCCCTTTTCCCAAGAAGGCCGAAGAACATGTACTTTTGCGCTAGCAAATTTTTTTTAAAAACCTCTTATAAGTAAGAGCAGAATGTAAACCGAAATCTACACCTTAATTTTCTGAAGGCTCATATGTTAGATTTTAGGATATGGTGTCCATATTTTGTACTCAAAATCAAAAGATATAACGTTTAGTGGTCTGATGGCAGCTGACCAGGTTTTCCAAGAAGGACGTATGAATGGGCTCAGAAAGAACGTCAAAGAAATTATTATTGTCTTCGCCAGCAACTCCAAGTTGCCAATAATGTGTATCACGTCAATTCCTGCAATGTTTCACATTTCAGAGGCAGCTCTTTTGACGATTCTGTAGAGCATGCAAATTAGATCAAAAATAGCGGGAAATACATATTTGTGGTCGCTTTCGAACAAGGTGGTAATGGCACCTCCTCCCTGATAGAGGCAGTGATAAAAATGCATGCATTGTTACATGAGGTTTTCGTTTAAGATGGCCAGCAACGGATGCTTCTTCCCAAGCGTGATATTCAACTTACCCGGAGAGATACAACATTCAATGTGCGAAGGTTATTTTTTGATGTTACCGTTGTGCAAAACAATTTTTTGTCAAGTTTCAAATTAAGCATTGTTTTTGCAAGGATAGATGGCTACAATACAAAGTCGACACCGTAAAATATGGCACCTGCTTCCGAATTGGTAAGATTTCATTAAAACATGCGTGCATCATAACCTAGGTCACACATAGGTGGGTTCAAAATGGATTGGGAAAACGCAAACGATGCTTGCATACACTTGAGCGGTGGCAAGGGACACTTAGTTACTGTTCTTGACAATTTCAAGCACAACTTCATCGCAAGTGACTATCATCTCACCCCTTAATCTTTTTTTTCTAAATTGAACTTACGTTTTAGTGCTAACTAGCTGGCATACCCGGCTCCGCCGTATGTTCCGAATAGAAAATTCCATTTCTTAACCGATCCGAACCAAACTTGGCACACATACACTTCGGGCCCCGGCGGGTGTCACAGTCCACTTTTCGTTATCGATTGATGCCGATTTTATCTATTTTTTGCAAAATTCGAGCTAGGGGGCTGGGATTTGGCACAGAGGGGTAATCGAGCATGCTGATTACGAATACAATATGTTTTCGAAACCGTGCATTACTTTTATCGATTTTATCGATTTTTTTGCAAAATTTGAGCTAGGGGGCTGGAATTTGGCAGGGGGTGTAATCGAGCATGCTGATCATCCCCACGGGGGTGATCAGCATGCTCACTTGCCCCCCCCCCCGTGCCAACTCCCAGCCCCGTAGCTCAAATTTTGCAAAAAATCGACAAAATCGATATCGATCGATACGAAAAGTAGCCTATGACACCCGCCGGGGCCCGAAGTGTATGTGTGCCAAGTTTGGTCCGGATCGGTTCAGAAATGGAATTTTCTATTCGGAACATACGTACACACAGACATACAGACATACATACATACAAACAGACATTCAGCTTTATACCGTCGATATCATCCCATATGTCTTCCCTCAACATGACGTGGATTACGTGGCTTGATGAGGCGCCGCCTCGCCTCGGGCTCGCGCCACGTTGCGAGCGCATCATTTGGCGCGACGTGGCGCTCATCACAACGTGGCGCAGGCTTTTCCACGTTCTTCTTGTTGCCACATCACGCCGAAAATGCGCACGCAACGTGGCGCAAGCCCGAGGCGAGGCGGCGCCTCATCAAGCCACGTAATCCACGTCATGTTGAGGGAAGACATATGGGATGATATCGAGGATATATAAGATTAAAAATGACTCAAGAACGGCAACACCATATCGGTACCATATCGGTCTCTCATATGACACGAGCCGGAAAGCGTACTTTTGGGAAAGATCAAAGGGCTCTTATCCTGAGAAGATTCCCATAGCAATTTTCGCATATTTTCGATACACTGTGCTCTAAAACAAAAGCAACGTTTTTCAGCTAGAAGATTTTCGAAAGTGGAATAAAGGCCATCCTTCATTGGACGACGACAAATACTGTGTTCTCACTGCTCAAAGCTCTACTGAGTTCGAGGTCGGTACAACAATAGTTACCTGTGTGCTGAACGAAATGCACAGTGCATATTCCGTGTTCCTGATGATTTGTAGTATAACTTTTCCTGTACTTAAATGGAAACTAAAATTCAGTTTCCGTAATGCTACTGACGTCACTCATTGATACAATTTTTCCAGCTCGGTTGGCAGAATGAAGTCTGTAATTTATGTTCTGCCGGAAACTACGTTTGCCAAATGAATGCTTGTGACACCGACAATTACTGCCCACCAGACTAGCGTTTATTTTGTTAGTCAAAAATTAATTTTTCCATGGATAATTATATTATCCGTTATGCGGAGAGTAGTTGTCACATACCTATAGGTCTATAGATGGCCAGTTCTGTTTACTAAACCATTCAATACTTGAGCTTTTATGCGGACAAAGTCAAGATGCTTAAGTTCAGAGGGTTCTTCGCTTTCGTGGACCCACTCGTTATGTAGACTTTGAAAGTATTTGGAAACTGGAGAATGCACAAATACTCAGACAACTGCATCGGGAAGTTCGCGGGTGCTTGTCCGACCACCAATCATCCATGCCGCGAGCTGCCCGGTAAACCCATATATTAGACCCGATAAGTGACCGCGGCACATCCTGTAAGTGCCCGTTAGGCGCCTATAGTTGACCCGATTAGCATGCTTGTAAGATCTAGGAAGAGTGAAAAACTATTTAATCTGTCTTTCAGAATGACGACTTGAGTGCAAAATGAGCAACTCGTTAGCCCATCTGTCGACATCATCTAGTGTCGTCAATATTACTCATCCGACTGCTGAAGTTTATTTCGTCAGCATAAGAACTCAACTCTGTCAGATAGGACCAATTCCGAGAAGCGATACCCAGCCTCATAAACACTTAGGGTAGCCCCATCGCTGCGACGTACCTCACGAGGGTTGCGCCTTAAACTACAGCGTGTAAGAAGTGCGGCCTTTGATAGGGCCCGCGGCCCGCCGAGTGAGGTGGTTGGGCCGCGATCTTCCCGGTAATCTCTTCCCGATTTCAACTTTGGCCGCGGCGTTCCCGGTAAAATATACATGGGCCGCGGCGTGCGGGGCCGAAATTTCAAGGGCCGCGACGCTCCATGTAACACGCTTTGAGGCCGCGGACTTTCCGATGCAATTGCCTATAGGCCTACTTCGGAGCCATTCATGCTGAACGGTTAGCAGAGCGAAGCCCATGAAGGTAAAGTCTGAAAGATACTTCCACACGTTCCGAGTTGCTGGGCAATGTTCATGTTGGGCATATGTTTCAGATGATGCTATGCGGGTGCATCAGGCATAAGTCATAACTCACTCGATTCTTATAGACGCGATACTCATATTATAAAGTATTTGTTAAGGCAATGGTCACAGTTTGTGACCGACCCTCAGATTTTTAATTGAACGATCAAAATTGAAAAAAAAAACTGTAGCAGATCATTCAGTTCAGCGACTTTCTTCGCTTTTTCACCTCTCAAGCCCACAAAGGGCTTAGCATCTTCAGAAAACAAGCATTTTTTCCCTAACTGGGTCCGAAGAATTCCTAGCGATAGGAAAAAAAGTAGAGCTTCTTTCATGCCCAACAACTAGAAGATTTCTCAGATCATGATCTTTGCTCACTTTGTTCGTATGATTATGAACCGCCCCATAAAAGGGGTTTGGCGGACAATGCTTTTCTGCACTGGAAGCAGTTTTCACTTCTGTGCTGATTATACTATTCGGCTACGCTGTTTGAAGTGGGTGGCACGAACGTTTTTTTTAGGCTCCTTCGAGAATTTGCTGAACTGTCAAAATAAGAGGTATTTGTATAAATATGAACCCGTATTACATTTTATGATATGAATTGATACAAATTGAAGCAGTTAAACATTTCCAAATTTTAGAAAATTTTTGTGCAGACTTATGTTCCAGACAATGAATTAGGATAACATTCGAAGTAAGACTTTGAAAGGAGCATAGCGACCGAAAAAATCAATGCTACCATCCACGCCGTTTAAGGTATAACATTCCGAAGTCTTTGACTTGCAATTTTTGACTTGACTTTGACATTCATGAATTGGCGGCTGGAAGGCGTGGCTTCCTGACCTAGTTAAGGCTATAAAGTGATCAGAGCACGAGCGCGAGAGAAACGCAGACTGCGTCGCGGTCGCGGCACCGCCGTTCAGCCGCCGCCAAACTAGTTAAATCAAAGGTTAGATGATCTGGGCTTCAGCAAAGCCAAATGCACGACGTTCGAAATTTCGCGGCCTCAAGCAGTTTCAATTATTTGATGCTTTTTCTTTTTCAAAGCTAAAGTGCTCTTGCAAAATACAAATAAAAAAATTCAGCTGGAAAGGAAATCACTCTCATAATGAATTTTGTACGTAACTGTGGCTTTCTTCTTCTAACGTAATGTACGCCTTACAGTGAGTTCATCTCAAGATTCTGTACCTAAGATAAAAAGAAATGCAGAAGTACTACTATTGACAGCTACTTTTCGTTCATCATCCTTCTTGCTCCACAATAAGAGCTGGAGTCTTTTTTACAAAGTGCACAGTTTCTGCGAGAATTTCTGCGACAGAATGCACTTACATAAGTCTTCCAGAATTCATAGCATGAACAGATTTAATCTGAAATACTCGGTCGCTGCTGTCTTCTTTCGTCGTTAGAAAATTCTGAACTTGAAGGCACTGCACTTTTCGTTATATCATTCTTTTTCTTCTATTCAAATATTTTGCATGCAGAAAGGCTTAACAACTCATCAGATAGAACAACTAATAATTTTGCCACAATCTAAATCATTTTGAAAATTAAGATATAAATATAAATGATAGCAACTCTTCCATTGGGTTTTGAAATCAAGTTTTTGAAACTTAGGTTTCGAAATCAAGTTTTTGAAATCTAATGGAAATGGAAGAGTTGGTGTCATTTATAGTAACAAAAGCAAGTCTTTGGTAGAAACGAAACTTATGACTTGTATAAAGGAGAAAATGCCAACGACGTAGTTAGAAGACATAATGCCTTTTGCAGTAATAACAAACCACTATTTGAACTGATAATGACATATCGCTTAGTATACTGCATACCAAAACTACAAATAACAATTGAGTCTAGGTTTATTACTTGAGCTGGCATAGCAGCATTGAACCATTAGCTTTATGTAGAATGAAGGAAGTTATTTGAGTACATTAGATTGTATTTCTACTACACACGCCTTGAAATATAAAAACACTACTTTCACAAATATTGGTCGACCGACAATAATGATGTCAGTGAGGAATTATCAAGTATCAACAGAATAAAGGATTGGCCTCTTTTTACCTTCTGGGGCATGCTCCGCACGCATTCTCTTCGGTCAAACAGGCAGGTTAATGCAGGCTTTATAATAAATTGCGGGGGACCAGCTGAGTCAGTGCTTTAGCCAGCACTACTCGGAAATTCTAGATTTTGAATATCATTCGCAAGCTGAAATATTCGAAATTTTTGAATTGTCAGAAAACAGTCATGATTAAAAACGTAGTAAACCTCTTAAATCGCCGTTAACTGACTACGTGCTTTATCGTAATGGATAGCAGACCGATCTGTTAAATACGGCCACCGGAATATATACACTTCTGGGCACAAAGGATTCGTCAAATTTCAAGTGATTCCTTCCAACTGGCTGCACATCATTGGATGCAGCATAAAACGTTGGTTCCAAAACGGTTTTATATCTGCTGAACCCTCTGTAAATGAAGTTGTAAGCCGTTTTTTCGAATGTGTGCGTCTCCACATGATTTATCATATGAAGGTCACTCTTGACACTTTCAAACATATACTGAAGTGCAATTTGTTACCATCATTTGATGTGATTTACACCTTATGTGCACCGTATAGATTCTCGTTGCGCCTTGAACGCGTCAGATCTAAGGGTTCATGACGCCCTTACCTGATGTGTAGCGGGTTTATATAGGTCTTTACTATAATATTTATCATACATAGTTATATACAGAAAGGGAAAGGGAAAGGGGGAAGAGGGCACCGGCTCCTGCCGGCGGGCGGAGGTCACTGCCGGAGGTTGGCTGTCTTCGGCCAACCTCCTTCTCGAGCAGCTGTTGTAGCTAGCTGCGTCCCGACATCTCCATTCCTTCAGAAAGCTCGTCCTCGAGCTTGATAGATTGAGGTTTCGAATTGTTAGGATTGGCGTGGTTGATGTTCTTCCGGGTAACGTGCGTTGGAATATGCACGTGATATACGTCGAGAACGTACAGTTGACGTGATGATATATTAAAATACATACAGATGTGAGGATATGGATCCGGTGGACTGCGAGCAGACACGACCTTCACTAGAATATCCTATGGCGTTGAGTAAGATCGTCCTCGAGCTTGAAGGTAGCTGAGGAGAGGAGGAGGAACTGCGGAGAGATGCAAGTGATGTGAATGGGGTTCCCGACATGATGCTGGGAAGGAGTTGGAGTGAAATTGTAGGGAAGGAAGATGGACCTATTGATTTTGGGGCATGGTAAAAATGGAGTTGATCAAAGGGCAAATGATTTAACATTTGGGGTAGAATTTACAGCATTTAGAAAATTTGTACAATGAAATTACTGAACATACGAAGTAGAAGGTATAAAAAAACTGGTTAACAGCAAATTATTCTACGATGATAATAATGGTAAATTAGTGATAAATTCATGATACATATACGCAGAAAAGCTTTAACAGTAATTTCTAGGCAATTATAAAACATAATTTAATAGTATTAGGTTGGCACATAAGTAATGCAACTTTTTATATAACTCTTGTCTATTTGAACGTAGCGCATTCATTTTTTGGCAATGTAAAGAATATGATGTAAGCTTCTATTGCACACATTTTTGCCGAATTCTACCATCTTATGGGAGGATTACGGTAGGTTTACGGTACTATGGAAATTTTTTTAGAATGCGTCGGATTTTGCTGAAACTTGGCCTATAGGGCTTATTTGACATGCTTATCACAAAGATGAGATCCGTTTCGCATGAAAAGGCCTCGTTCGTGAGATCAAAAGATGAATTTCACTTAAGCGACAAATGAATATGATATTCGTGTTTACCGCATAGGACTACCCTATAGTGCAAAGTTATAGCGAATTCTGACTTTTCGCAGCTTAGTTATTGACAAATTGCCTTCAAAACTTGACGCATTTGACTTGTTCAACTTCTCAAAGGCGCCCCACCTTAAATTGTGTTTAAATTTCATTTCTTTTTCACTGATTCCAATGTGCTAACTTCCAGCTACATGTTATCTATAATTGATTTTCCA